TGGTTGAACTGGCCGTGTGACAAACAAAGCGGGCATAAGCTGGACACGAGCGCGAGTTCGCGGGCGAATTTAATAATGCGGAGCGTTGTTAACTAATTGATCCATAGCTATATAGTAAGGCGCTCCCGAATATAAGGCACACTGTCGTCTTTTGAGAAGATTAAAGGCTTTTAAGTGCGCCTTTTATAGTGCGGAAAATACGGTAAAAGGATCAGCACGAACTCTATGGCAGAACCGAAGTCCCGCGGGACACGAGGTTAGATTGTCCCGTGCAGGGCTGACCGAACGGTCCGGGATTTTACCGTGTACCGTTGCATCCCTAATTGATGCTAATGCTTACCAGTCTCAAGAAAAATCAGAAAAACCCCATGAGCATGCTAAGTTACCTCAAATGCAACCAGCACAGCCTTGAAGATTTTATAAACTGGTTCAGTGGCTAATTGTTTGGAGTTCGAAATATATAACTTGCGCTGCATATTTATTCATGTTGCCTCCGATACAGGAGTAGCTACACGTTCGCTTTAACAAGCAGGTTGTTCATTACCACAGCAACCGATTGCGTGTCATGCTCATGCTGAAAAAAAAGTAAAACTAGTTTAAAAAGTAACTAACGTTATGCATAAGAGACGGAAAGAGGCAGAGAACCATACGTTATTTAAGGTTATTTCTATTCGTTACGATATTGATATATGAACTGATGTTGTCATGTAAGCTTCATGCTTTCCCCGTTGCGAACGTCCTCTAAACTGTAGTCTACGGTGCTGCACTGCTAACTTAGCTGACTGCTGCTCGTTTTCCCAGAGAATATCATGGTATGTTAACAACAACCCTTTAGAAAATGTACAGTAAGTCCTTTGTGGATCCTCTTGATCTGCTTTCTCCGTGCTTCTTTGACTAATCTCAGTCGCACGCACGCTGCACGCGAGACGAGTTAACCATGTTCGACACATTTAACTGGAATTGGGGCGTCCACACTGTTTAATACATCTTAGGCACCGCTCGCGTTGTGTTTTGGGCTTTGGAAAGGGAAAAAACACAACTTCTCCAGACAATCTCTCGGGGTATCATGTGTCCGATTTACAAACGCCGTGGGCGCACCGCTTACTGTTTAACGGAACAGCTCACACAGTAACGGTTGCTATGATGTGTGATTGGACAATGGCCATTTTGTGGGAGGGGCCGGCGAAAGGTCAATTGTTGCATGTTAAAAAATAAATACAACCTCATGTTGTGTGAATCACGTTTACTAGGGATGGGCAACGATTAATCGTGATTAATCACATCCAAAATAAAAGTTTGTGTTTACATAATACAGGGCTCAAGACTAACGGCGTCCTATCCTGGGGACGATAGAAAATGTGTTTAGGACGAACAGAAATATTCTCCAGGACGAAAGGCATTTTATATGCGTGTTCACAGGGCTCGAATTTCGGCGCGGGTATTGCGCATAATTCAAATCATTCCCGGAGGTCTCCTAATTATAATGCGGATATTCCCGTAATCGTAATCCACAAAGATTTTAAAATGCCAGACGCAATTTCACAAACAGCGTCAGTGTTCAGCGGTGCCGCGTCTTCTCTTCTCTCAAAATGTTGTGGAAGGCAAGCATCAGTCGCTGCTGCGATAATACACACTCGCGTTCAGGAGTCGGGACATGACGGAATATTCACTTGCACAATCGGGCCAGCAGTGCATCGTGAATGAAGTTTACCATTTGCACGTCTTTTTAAGTCTTACCAGTTTAAACATTCAGGCGATTTTAAACTGATCAGTGCTCGTGCACTCTCTGGGTTGATGCGCACATTCATAGAAAATCCGTCTCAAGAACAGCTGGCCAGTAACAAAACTTATTTTTCATGGATTATATTGCATTTAACACGCAAAACTGTTTCAATTTCGGTCTTTGTGAGTACAATAGTCTAAATATAGTCGGTTTTGTATTTAACCCTTTATGACCTGCCATAGAACAGTTCCACCAGAGTATATCTTTCTATTTTTACATGCTGTGCTGTCATTCTTTTGAGCATTTTGATATGCCATACATCAAAATAATCCTTACTTTCTCTACTTGAAGGCTATGTTTGTAAAAAATCAATAGTAGCTAGATAAATATCTCAAAAATGCAATAAACAAAAAGAAAAACAATTTTTTTAACACAAATTCTACATATTTTATTTAATACAAAAAAATGATAAATGTAAACCTCAAACTTGTCAATGAGAAAAATGTGCATAAAACAGTTTAAAACTATACAGAATTGATTTGAACTGTTTACATCAATTAGTTTTTAAGATACACTCATTTAAAAAAGGGGAGTAAAATGCCATATGTAAAATATTCAATTACATTTGTGGTCAAACAGATAACATTTTGCTTTTGAACATTGATTGAACATTGAATTGGTTAGAATATAAATTAAATAGACCCTGTCAGAACAATTAATAATAAAATAAATATAAAATAAATAAATAAAGGCGATGAGCAGAAGGAAATCGGTGCGTCCGTGTACTTTCATTTTGACATAACGTTGCGCGCATGCGCGCACGTGTGTGTGGGGGGGGGGGGTGCGTGTGTGTGAATGTGCTTGTATTTGCGAGTGTATAAACGAGAAAGAAATGATAGAATGAAGCAATGGTAAAAAGACAATAATGATAAGGATCAACATATAGCAGATGGGAGTCAAGTGCGAGTCAAACCTATTATATATTCAGTCAAACGCATGGCCAAAAGACGCTGCTTCTGACGTCACTACATGCGACACAAGCTGGGGTCAAAGTGCACAGGAAGTGATGTCGTGATCAGTCCATGGATCCGTCATCGGAAGACGCAACTACCAATTGCGGATCTATAGCACATGTGTGCAAAGACGTGCAATGCATTTGTGTGTGTTTTTTTGGAAACGCGCATTATTACAGACTCATTAGAGGGTGGAAACCGCGCAACATGAGCATGTTGAGGCTTGATCTGCCATGTGCACCGAACGTGATACCTCAATGCGCCATCGGAAGGCGTTACTATCAATCGCAGATCTACAGATCATGTGTGCAAAGACGTGCAATGCATTTTTGTGATTTTTTTGAGAAACGCATTTTGCGCATTTTGTACAGACTCATTAGAGGGTGAAAACAACGCAACATGCGCATGTTGGAGGCTTGATCTGACCATTTTACATCTCTAGTTTTGTATGCAAAAAGAATGATTGAGCTAGCCACTTGGTTTCAGTTTCTATAGGCTGTTAAACAGACACACGCAAACCGGAGCGCCGACGCTCCCGTCGGTCTTAAAGGGTTAATAAGCATAAAACGCATGCCAGTATCCACAAGTTTCCGAGGGGAGCTCCTGTAAAAAATAAAGTGGGTGAAACTTCCGGTGACGCGGAGGAAGTAGCATTCCAATGGTATTTTGTGTGTTAGTTAGCGAAGAGGCTAGCTGTTTTTCAGAGAATTATTTTACCATTTAAAGACGCAAATCTTTATGAGAGATGTCGTTACGGAGCTCAGGGGCAACATGTGCTGTTCGCGATTGTATGTATAACCAGATTAAACTAGTTCAGTGGCTTAAACGTGATTGTTTTGAACATAAGCTGAAAACGAAATCAGAGTGATCCTGCCAGAGCCCGTCTCTGATCCTGCCAACGACTGTAGTTTCCATCACCTCCCAAAAGACGACGAATCTTCCTGTGTACATTTGTTTAAATTCTTAATATTCTATAAACTCTCTCAGCATGTGATTGGCTGTTCGCTACTGATGTTGCACCTAAACTCAGGATCAAAGCCTGTGTTGACAGAATACCAATGTGCCAGTTAATGTATTCAAGCAGCACATTCATTTATAATTTTGAATAAACTCCAAAGCACAATGACAAAGTGTGTATTTTTTATTTTAATTGTTTGTCAGCTCGCACAACTGTCTGTCACCATGCCTTGATGAGTATTGATTATTAATAATGTTATTATAATACTCCCAGCCAACTACTGCGGAGGTAAAGGTACTGTTATTTCACCCTTTTGAATTTCGTTGAGGTTGAGTTCCCACATCGTTAGCTAGTTTGGATCGCTATAACTTGAATGACTGTCAACTGTTGAATGAACGACTGTCAAGCATGTCAAGTCGCGCTTTGTTTACTTACAACCGGAAGTCGCGCCCACTTTTGACGCAAGGCCTCATGGGGCGTAGGAAACTTGTGGATAATGAACACAGAATCCGTGCCCCAGCTCTTAAAGAGACAGCAACCATATATCTGTCGGTCAAATTTTGTCGTCAAAACAACAAGTTTAAGGAATTAAAGTTAAAGGAATCAGGAATGATAGCCTATGTAGGCCTATTTAATTTATTCTGGACTAAAATAATATCCAGGGTTATTTTCCATTTGATTACTTTATTCAGTTTCTGTCTATGAATATAGTGTTAGACCTTCAAAAACTTTTCTCTTTATTTCTATCTTTATATTGCATGTTCAAACTTTAAAATCATTCAAATTAACTGCTTAATAGATTTTTTTTCTCTGGAAGTATGTAGGTTTGGAGATTTTAGAGAAATTCTAAATTAATGCATTACAGTTGAACTAAACCCATTATAATTTAGTCATCTGAATTGTTTTAGTTAACTAACAGCTATGGATGATAACAGCAGGTACAGAAACAAAATTTTTATTTTGAGACGGTTGACATTCACTTTAGGACGGTTCAAATTGTCATTCGAGACGGTTCCAGGACGGAGGTAAAAAAAAAGTTAGTCTGGGGCCCTGATAATATATGTTTGTTTAGTGTGTATAATTAATTTGTATATATAAATACCCACACATATTTAATAAATATGTGCATGTATATATTTGATATATATTTATTCACAATTAATATTATAAATATAAATATTTGGTATATTAATAACACATTTTTCTTAAATATATACATGCATGTGTGGGTATTTATATATACAAATTAATTATACACACTACACAAACATATATTATGTAAACACAAACTTTTATTTTGTGTAACTGCCTCTGTCGCCAATTTATTTCTGTATTAGCACTTTTACTATTTTCGTTTCTTCTGAATTTAATGTTAACAGCAAGACGGAACTAATTATTGGTTCCGCCCGGAGGTTTCCGGCCGGGCGCTTTTGAGCGACGCTCTGAGAAAAACATTACCGCGAAAGAGACTGATGTATCCGCTGTTATCGTGTTTAAGTGCATAAGTTTACAAGAAAATAGGCAGAAAGAAGATACAGAAGATCTGAAAGAATGTTTTAGCACCTCCATGTGATAAGCAGCAATGAGGTTTGTTGACCGTTCATTTTGCTGTGATGGTGTTTGTGTTTACATATGTTTTCATGTGTATTTTTTGTGATGTAACGTTATAACATATAAGATGTCTAACGTTAGCTGTATATGGCCTTGATTATGACACAATATTTGTGAGACATGCATATAGCATTATTTTTTTTTGTTTATTTACATTTTCTTTCTTCATCTTCAACCAGTTCTCACGGGTTGACCAGCATTAAAGCCCTGTATTCTAAACAAGACCTCTTGCCTCATGTCTGTCACTGGAGGAGCTACAGTGAGAACTCATCTGCTCTGCATGAGTAGACGAGGAAGACAGTACCAAAGAGCCGTGATCCATGGACAAGAAGGGACATCTCTACATCCAAGACTGTGCATCTGCCCCTGACATTTACGCATCCGCAGCATCCACAGAAGAATCCAGGTGCCTTTCCACGAATCCGGCTGAAGTTAAGAAGCTTAAATATTTCCCACAAGAGACTGTGAAACATCCCTTTTTGCCGTCATATTCATACGGTATAGTTGCGTGCATGTTTAAGTGTTAACTAAGCTGCAATTAAGAGACTTGAAATGAAAATATTCTGCACAAAAGACTGAATTTTGCATTTTGTAGAATAACAAGATATAGATTTGTGTGAAATAGATCTGAAAATATTTCTAAAAACTAATACTAGTAGTAGAAAGTTTAGAAATGTGAATAGCTAAAGAGAAGTGAATCACTTAGCTTTTTGCCAAATTACATTTAACCCAAAATTAAGTGCACCAAGTAACAATGTCAGAGCCTAGTCATACATCTAGCAGAAAGCAGGTTAGTGCAGGAAAAAATATAGAGCAACAGTGCATAGACATGCAACTACAGGCCACTAAAGGCACAAGAGCTGATGACCACACTTCCTCACAAGAACCACGAAGAAGCCAAAGAGTCCGAAAATTAACGGAAAAGGGCCAAGAGCTGTACAGTGAGCAAATAAGAAGATTTGCTCACCGTTTCTCTGTGAGTTATGAGGAGTGGAAGGCTATCGCTAAGGACGCCAAGCAAGCCCTGAGTGGACAATGCTCTAAAAACCTGCTACATGAATACATCAGCAAAGTAAGCATGGCCTCAAAGAATCTGAACATTGCTTATGAAGAGTTGAGGCACATAGACAACCCTGACCAAGACACACGTCGCAGAATTGACACCTGTGATGCAGTAACCAGGAAGATCATCCAAAGCGCAAAGGATCGTTTGGAGACAGCAGATAACGGTGGAGGAAATGAAGAACAAGGCCACAGGGCGACATCGTCTATATTCAAGTCTGCAGCCTCAGACAAGATAAGTGTCAAATTCCAATTCACTAAGTCCTCTCATGCTCAAGGCAGCTCCAGACATTCAAGTCGGATTTCTGCAAGCAGACAAGATGCCGCTGCTGAAGTTGCTGCCAATGAAGCTACTCTAGAAGTACTACTAGAACAAGAGTGTTGCATTGAGGAATTGGAAAGGCTTGAAGCTGAAGCTGCAGAGAGACAAAAGGTGCTAGACGCAAAGCGCAGACAACTGGAGCGACTAGAGACAATTAAAAAGTTAAAAGCTGCTAAGGCACGTCAGCGAGTGTATGATCAGAGTGAGGGCTCAGATGAAGAAATAAGCAGTCTACTCCATCACAGTGTCTGTATTAAGGGAAGGGAAGAAGCGAAACATGAAAATAATCCGTTGCAGCACCATTCCTCACCACAAGACTGGGCACACTCAAAGCAAGATGAAAGTACAGCAGCTCTTGTGAGAGCACTTGCAGAGTCCATCAGTGCAGGTCGTCTTCCTATACCTGAACCAACAATATTCAGTGGCGACCCACTCAGATTCAATGACTGGAAGGTTTCGTTTCAGACACTCATTGATCGGAAAAACATTCCAACTGAAGAAAAGATATATTACTTGCGAAAGTATGTGGGTGGACCTGCTAAAAAGGCTATAGAGAGCTACTTCCTGCTTGGTTCAGAGTCAGCCTATCATGCAGCTTGGAGGAACCTCGAAGAAAGATATGGGAATCCATTCCTCATAGCCAAAGCCTTCAGAGACAAGCTGGAGGGATGGCCCAAGATAAGCTCCAAATGCAGTATTGAACTTCAAGAGTTTGTTGATTTCCTTCGGAGCTGTGAGGCTGCTATGACTCAGATCACAGGCCTCAATGTACTTAATGACTGCAATGAGAACCAGAAGTTACTTGCAAAACTTCCAGACTGGCTGACCTCGAGATGGAACAGAAAGGTAATAGAAGTGGAGGAAGAAAGTCACGCATTTCCAAACTTCCAGCAATTTGTAGAGTTTCTCACACGTGAAGCTAAGATTGCAAATAACCCAATAACATCTTTCCATGCTCTGAAACCTGCTGAAGATAAGCAGATCAAGGTTTTAAAGAACAGAGCTGTAGGAGCTAAAGTACTAGCAACTAACTCAGATGAAAGGGCTTCCTCCACAAGCTGTTTCTTTTGTGAGAAGTCAGGACACAGTCTACACAAGTGTTGGAAGTTTATGGATAAGACCATCTCTGAGCGAATCAAGTTTGTTCAAGGGATGAAGTTGTGCTTTGGCTGTCTGAAGCCTGGCCATCGCTCAAAAGAGTGTGAAAGTAGGAAGATCTGCGATACCTGTGAGAAAGGACATCCAACCTGCTTACACGATAATCGCAGCAAAGAAAGAGGAATGTCAACAAGGACTGGTAGGGAAATGGAGCATGACAAGTCAAGAGAAGGAACAACAGATCGCTCACAAGAAAAGATGACAAGAACACCACGCGAGGTAACGTCTAACAGAGTTATCCAGAACGTTAAAAGTACCCATACATCCTCAGTCATTCCTGTGTGGCTGTCAACTACAAGTAAGCCAAGTCATGAAGTTCTTGTGTACGCTCTCCTCGATACTCAGAGTGACACAACCTTCATCCTTGAAGAGACAGTTAAGGTGCTTCACACTAAAATTGAACCAGTCCAGTTAAAGCTCTCCACAATGACTTCAAGAAATACAGTGGTGCCTAGCACAAAGCTGACTGGTCTACAAATAAGAGGATTCTACTCGGATAAGGTAATCTCTCTGCCAGTAACTTACTCAAGAGAATTCATCCCTGCAAACAGAGATCATATTCCCACACCAGAGACTGCCAAGTCATGGTCTCACCTTGAGCACATTGCAGATGAAATTGCTCCTCTACAGAGCTGTGACATCGGCCTACTAATTGGCTACAACTGCCCTCAAGCTCTTGTACCAAGACAAGTGGTTGCTGGAGAAGAAAGTGAGCCCTTTGCTCAGAGAACAGACCTGGGTTGGAGTATAGTTGGTTATGGCAACCCATGTCTTGACTTTGGAGATGCCTTTGGAACAAGTCATCAGGTCATTGTGAAGCAAGTGATATCAGTTCTTCCAAATCTCCCAAGCGAAGTGCACTATGTCTGTAGAACACAGATCAAGGAAGTAATCCTTCCTACAGATGTCATCAAGGTGTTGGAATCTGATTTCGTAGAAAGGGCTTCGGAAGACGAACACCTTTCTCAAGAGGATCTTCAGTTCATGTCAATCATGAAAAGCGGCATCAGACTCAAGGAGGACGGGCACTATGAAATGCCACTTCCCTTCAAGAAAGAAAGACCAAACTTACCAGACAACAAGATATGTGGCATCCACCGTCTCAGATGTCTGGAGAAAAGGTTAAAGGGAAATGAGCAGTACTATAAAGACTATAAGGCCTTCATGGAGGAGACAATAGCTCGTGGAGATGCTGAGCTTGTCCCTGAAGAGGATATCAGCAAGACTCCAGCGTGGTACATTCCTCACCATGGGGTGTATCATCCCCAAAAGCCTGGTAAAATCCGTGTCGTTTTTGACTGCTCCGTAAGGTTTCAAGGGACATCCCTGAATGACCATCTCCTGACTGGCCCAGAGTTAACCAACACCTTGGTGGGAGTTTTGTGTCGGTTCAGAAAGGGTCGTGTGGCAGTTATGTGTGACATAGAACGGATGTTCCACCAGTTCCATGTTAAGCAAGAGGACCAAGATTATCTCAGATTCTTGTGGTGGAAAGATGGAGATCTTAAAACCCAGCCCTCCATTTATCGAATGAAGGTCCACTTGTTCGGTGCAGCTTCATCACCTGGATGTGCTAACTATGGCCTAAAGCATCTTGCCGCTCAAGGACAAGAACGTTTTAGAGAAGAAACCATCAGGTTCATCCAGAAGAACTTCTACGTCGACGATGGATTGACAAGTGTAGAATCTGAAGACCAAGCAATCCAACTAGTGAATGAAGCAAGAGAGCTGTGTCGCACAGGAAAACTTCGACTGCACAAGTTCATCTCCAACAGCAAAGAAGTCTTAGACGCAATTCCCGAGGAAGAGTGTGCTAAAGCTGTCAAGGATTTGACCATGATGTTGGGAGAACCACTGATGGAAAGAGCACTAGGGGTACAGTGGTGTGTAACTTCTGATGAGCTGCAGTTTAGAGTGGTTGTCAAAGAAAATCCACTTACACGCAGAGGGGTCCTGTCCACAGTTGCTTCTGTGTATGACCCACTTGGATTTGTGGCACCCTTCATCCTGGTAGGAAAGAAGATCCTGCAGCAGATGTGTCGTGACAAGCTCAGTTGGGATGATCCTTTGCCTGATGACCTTAGACCCCTGTGGGAGTCTTGGGTGCAAGATCTAAAAAACTTGGCTGAGGTGAGAGTCCAAAGATACTATCTGCCATCAAGCTTCAAGGTCCAACATTATGAGCTCCACCACTTCTCTGACGCCAGCGTGTCAGGCTATGGAGAGTGCTCGTATTTACGAGCAGTCAGTACATCAGGTGAAGTCCACTGCTCCTTAGTCATGGGAAAGTCAAGAGTAGCTCCTACTAAAGTCATGACTATACCAAGACTCGAGCTGTCAGCAGCAGTGGTAGCAGTCCGGACCAGTGACATGCTTAAGAAAGAACTAGAAATAGACTGCCAACAAGAATGTTTCTGGACTGATTCAAAGGTGGTACTTGGGTACATCGGTAATGAAGCCAGAAGATTTCATGTTTATGTAGCAAATCGAGTTGAGCGTATTAGACTAAGTACAGATGCCGGACAATGGAGATATGTAGCTTCAGAAGATAACCCAGCTGATCACGCCTCAAGGGGTGTCACGGCAAAACAACTCACAGCTTCTAACTGGTTCACAGGTCCAGAGTTTCTTTGGCAGAAAGAGTTACCAACTGGAGAAATCATGGTGGGAGAGATCGAGAGCAGTGACCCAGAGGTCAAGAAAGCTCAGGTTCATGACACTCAGGCAAAAGAAGCAAAAACACTCCTAGAGCGTCTGCACAAGTTCTCAGACTGGGCAAGATTGGTGAAAGCTGTTGCCAGACTCAAGCGCCTTGCTAAGGAAATCAAAGGTCTCAAGCCAAGATCCAGTGATGCCTCAAGCTTGGAGGAAAGGAAAGAGGCGGAGCTGACCATAATCAAGATGGTGCAGGAAGCAACTCTCTGTCAAGAAATTCAATGCCTTAGACATCATAAGGAGACAAAGCTCAAAGACAAAGTCAGCCAGCTGCACAAGCTATGTCCATTCCTGGATGATCAAGGTGTAATGAGAGTAGGAGGCCGCTTAGCTCATGCTGCCCTACATCTACATGTGAGGTATCCAGCAATCCTTCCTAGAGACAGTCATGTGTCTGCATTGCTCATCAAGCACTATCATGAAAGAGTGTACCATCAAGGTCGAGGAATGACTATTAATGAACTCCGAGCCAATGGTATATGGATCCTGGGTTGCAGCAAGCTTGTTTCATCCCATATTCACAAGTGCACACGTTGCAGAAAGTTCCGAAGATGCACAGAGCAACAAAGGATGGCCGACCTTCCAGAAGATCGGATGGAAACAACTGCGCCATTCACTTACTGTGGAATGGACTGCTTCGGACCGTTTCACATTAAGGAAGGAAGAAAGGAGCTAAAGCGTTATGGGCTGTTGCTCACCTGCATGTGTTCCAGAGGAGTTCACATTGAAGCACTTGATGACTTGACCTCAGATGCCTTTATCAATGCTCTGCGTTCGTTCATCGCCATTCGGGGATCAGTAAGGCAGATAAGGTGTGATCAAGGGACAAACTTTGTCGGAGCAAGGCGTGAGTTCATTGAAGCATTGAAACAGATGGATCAAGAGGAGCTCAAGGATTTGGGCTGCGAGTTCATCATGAACACCCCGGCCTCAAGTCATATGGGTGGTGTCTGGGAAAGGCAGATACGCACTATCAGAAGTGTCCTGGCGTCCATTCTACAACAGTCGTCCAGACAACTAGACTCCTCTTCCCTACGAACATTTCTATATGAGGCCATGGCGGTTGTGAATAGCAGACCTCTAACCACTGATCATCTGAACGATTCTACTAGTCCAGAGCCCTTGACACCAAACCATATCTTGACCATGAAGTCCACAATCATTCTCCCACCTCCTGGAAGGTTTGTCAAGGAAGATCTCTACCTCCGCAAAAGATGGCGCAGAGTTCAACTCTTAACCAACAACTTTTGGGTACGGTGGAAAAAGGAGTACCTCTTAAATCTCCAACACAGACAGAAGTGGACCAAAGATCGCAGAAATGCAAAGGTCGGTGACATTGTTCTGTTGCAAGATGTTGCCACACCGCGAAACCAATGGAAGCTAGCAAGAGTCATCGAGGTGTATCCTGGAAGTGATGAAAGAGTGAGGAGACTCAAGTTACTTATCAGTGACTCCTCCCTGGATGGAAGAGGAAAGCGTACTTCCAAACCTGTTTACCTGGAGAGACCCATTCAGAAAACAGTTACATTGATAGAAGCAGACTGATGGTTCAATCATACACACAGACACAGTTTATTAGTTGTTTATTAGGATAGAGTTCAATTTTATTTATTCATGCAATATGTTTTGTCTCCAAGTTTAAGAAATCACTTGTGATTTGGTGGGAGTGTAACTGCCTCTGTCGCCAATTTATTTCTGTATTAGCACTTTTACTATTTTCGTTTCTTCTGAATTTAATGTTAACAGCAAGACGGAACTAATTATTGGTTCCGCCCGGAGGTTTCCGGCCGGGCGCTTTTGAGCGACGCTCTGAGAAAAACATTACCGCGAAAGAGACTGATGTATCCGCTGTTATTGTGTTTAAGTGCATAAGTTTACAAGAAAATAGGCAGAAAGAAGATACAGAAGATCTGAAAGAATGTTTTAGCACCTCCATGTGATAAGCAGCAATGAGGTTTGTTGACCGTTCATTTTGCTGTGATGGTGTTTGTGTTTACATATGTTTTCATGTGTATTTTTTGTGATGTAACGTTATAACATATAAGATGTCTAACGTTAGCTGTATATGGCCTTGATTATGACACAATATTTGTGAGACATGCATATAGCATTATTTTTTTTGTTTATTTACATTTTCTTTCTTCATCTTCAACCAGTTCTCACGGGTTGACCAGCATTAAAGCCCTGTATTCTAAACAAGACCTCTTGCCTCATGTCTGTCACTGGAGGAGCTACATTTTGGATGCGATTAATCGCGATTAATCGTTGCCAATCCCTAACGTTTACACACTGCATCCGAAACTTTCATCGTATCGGGTTAGACTTTGTGTTTTCCGCATCCGTGGAAAGTATGTTGAGAGGTTTTTTGATAATTCAGAGCCACCGAATGATGACAAAAAATTATTTGAGACACAGACCTTTAGGCTCCAGGCACATCCCTAGTAAAGAGATCACATGGATCATGAAACGTGTGTGTGATGCAGTAATATTCACCGGCAGCAGACACATCCACATGGGCAGAGAAACCAGCTTCTGCACCTGCTCACGGATCAAGTCCACTTCCTGAAGAACGTCACAAATAAACAGTCAATAAAGTTCTGTATTACTGGAATGGAGCTCTTATAACATCAGCTAAAATCCTGTTCCTAGTGTTGCCATGTTGACTGCAAGATTAAAGCATGATACAGTCAAACAAACACCGCGCTCCTGCCACTTCACACAAATCAGTTCACACACTGGAAATAGAGTGTGTGAAACTTTTACTATAGGTGCCATTTTCTGCGCTGACACCTCTCACAGCATCTGCACATCATCATAAAACACTACAGATGTGCACAGGCTCACGAGACACGACGTGTCTGAATAGTTGCCACCCAAGCCTATAATCTTACATTAGCATTCTATAAACACTAGACAATGAAATCACGTCAACAATGCAAATGGGCCATCTGAAGGGACGGGACACCATGCCTTAAATTAGCAGCAAGCCAAAAATAGATGAAAACAGGCTTGAACTGAACTGAGTCTAGAGAGCGGTTAAAACCCCTATAACATGCGCTGTTTAGCAAAGCAACAGTGCCACCAAGTGATGAGAGGAACGACAGGTAATGTAGTAAATCCTTTGTGCTAGTGATTTAGTAAATGAGAAGCATGTGAACGAACCAGACTGTTGAAGCAGTGATCGAGGAAGAGGAGGAGCACCGTCTGTTCCTTCAGCGACAGGCCGAGCTGTTCGCCCGACAGACACGACTCCATCACACACCTGAAGAAGTGAGGGAAGTGTGTGGGTGCGCGCTTAAAAACCTGCCCAGAGAGAGAAACAACACAGGTATCATATCTAATCAGATCTGTAAACAATAATAATATAAAAAATAATAATAAAAAATCAGCAGCTGCGGTTGCCAGATCTTCTCAATACAAAAAAATACAGCAGGAACATTTTAAGTTCTACAGACTGACTTAAAATTCATATTTCATCATGAGAAATCATTTTTATATAGACCATCGCCACTTTTGCGTCATCGAAGGGTAACGCCCCCTTTTGGGGGAAAACACCTGTATACTGTCTATGGGAAAACAAACAGAACTCGCACTAGATCTGCAAAGTTTCTTGATAGCAAAAATGGCACAAACTTAAAGAAGCTAACGTTACTGAATACGGGGTTACAGAGGTGTCCCTTTGAAATGGTCGAAAACTGGATTAATGACCCCACACAGCGGCCAAATATGGACTATTCAGACATCTAACGTTACCACTATCTCGTGGAATCACCAAGTAAGTAGCCTTTTTTATTTATTTATCATTTACACACTCACAGTAGCCTATTACAAACTACTACTAGACGATGAGGCCATGTCACTTGGATCATATTTAACTTGATTTAAGCTATTGACAGTTTTGTTGTCGACTAGCTATTAGAAAGACTAGCTGTTAGCAGCTAACGTTACCTTATTAGCTTAAATCAAGTTAAATATGATCCATTCATCGTCTAGTTTGTCATACTGTGAGTGTTAATGAAAAAAAAGGCTACGTGCTTACTTGGTGATTCCTACTTGGTTAGATGTCTGAATAGTCCATATTTGGCCACTGTGTGGGGTCATTAATCCAGTTTTCGACCATTTCAAAGGGAAACCTCTGTAACCCCGTATTCAGTAACGTTAGCTTCTTTAAGTTTGTGCCATTTTTGCTATCAAGAAACTTTGCAGATCTAGTGCGAGTTCTGTTCTCATGGGAATCCGTTTGTTTTCCCATAGACAGTATAGAGGTGTTTTCCCCCAAAAGGGGGCGTTACCCTTCGATGACGCAAAAGTGCCGTTGGTCTATAACACATCTTTATAATACACTCACTGACCACCTCGAAAAAAGAGACGAATCAAAAGCAGCTTCTCCACAAGCTGAAGAAAATACTGATGTCATACACACACTCAGTGCCATAAAAAAGGCCATTCATTTAACAGCATGAAACGTTAATGTACATAACTGATAACAAAGCGTTATTTCAATGAAAAATAACATGAGAATTTACAGTTAAATAAGATCCTTTGTTTGTTTTTCACTTACACAAACTGTACATTTAACAGTGTCTTAAAGTACAAAATGTCCAATTTCATCATCCGTTACAGTTTTTCACCGTGATGAGCTTACAGTAAGCAAGTGAGCAGGTTTTACAGTCTTTTACTGTTAAAATTACAATTACTTTTATTAGTGTTTAAGGTTGGGTGTTTTTTACAAATGTCACGGTTCAATTCTAAATCACCACGATCTATAATTACACTGTTCATAAAACCTTAACCTGTGCTAACCCGTTATCCACTTGAAGAGCAGCACAAGTGTTCAGCCATACAACATCAACACAAAAGGTACATTGTGCCAAACAAGAATATATATATATTTTTTTTTTAAACAAGTACCATTTCACAAGATGTAAACACTGGTCCAGAAGCACTTCCTGTTTCAGTTTTTTAACACCACATAAAAGCTGGGATAAAAAACAACCAACAGAACTGAATCAGAAAGTTAAACAAACATCTTTAAGAGGTTTTCTTTACATGTGAAATAAAGAAAACAGTTGCAAACTGAAACAGGAAGTGTTTCTGGACCAGTGTTTACATCTTGCATCTTGTTAAAGCTGCAGTCTGCAGTTTTTCCTCTTTGTCGCCACCTCTGTTCAAAATCTGCAATTGCAGTCTTGAGTTGTGCCTCGGCACAGCACAGTGCGGATGAACACAGTGTTTGAGGACAGTGTGTGTCTGTCAATGGATACTGGCATTCAGAATCACAGATTATTCTTTTCAGAAGTACGGCCAACATAAGAATAGAAGAATATCAGTAACCAGACAGTTTCTGGTCTCACTGACAAGTCAAATGAGACCAGAAACTGTCAGGTTACTGATATTCTTCTAAATATCTGGAAATCAGCTGAATGGATTCAAAAACGGTAAAACTCGACTGTTTAACTCTGGGGGAGTTGTAAAATGAGCCTATTTCCCAAAAAAAGTGGAGTATCCCTTTAAATCTAACGATCGCTCAGGGATGCAAACACATGTATGGTCAAAAAAGAGAGAGGTAATCGAAGTGCTCGTCCGCAGAAAATATCCAGATACTTATATTGCCACCAACCCCGGCCCACCTCTAAGCACATTATAGTAAATATGTTTCAGCCTTTAAATCATTTATCACAAAAAACCCCCCAAAAAACACGGTTTTATAAAAACAAACCTCACATATTTCAGCCTTTAAATCGTTTTTCACAAAAAAAAGGTGTTATAAAAAGATAAACCTCCCATATTTCAACCTTTAAATCATTTTTATAAAAAGAATGAGTCTAAAAGCAAAGCTTATCTTTTATTAGTAATAGTTAGAGCCCGACCGATAATTTTTGAAGGCCGATACCGATACAAATATTTGTTGGTTTTAAAATCCGATATTCCGATATATCGGCCGATATTATTTTTTTATTTTTTTTATTTCAGAAACGCGCAACAAAATATTAACAGATTTCCCTAACATTAGTTAGTTATCATAAAATAATATGATAATGTATAATCGGTTCTCTCTGCCTGACTCTGGCTGGATCAGCAGGTTGCAGGATGTGTGTCGCTTTATACACGAGTGTTGCCACGAGAGTACCCTCTGGTGGACAAACTATAAAACTCCAACACTCATGACATGGTTGAAACACGTTTCATCCGTTTTTATTTTATTTTTGAAATATTCATTTATCGGCCATTATAACTGCCGATACCGATATTTTAGAAAATGCATAATATCGGCCGATAATATCGGTCTGGCTCTATAGTAAAATTCGATCCGATTTTCCTGTGGCGTCTGTCGTTGCTAAGCATCCATGCACTGCGCTCTACACAACGACAAAGAAGTTTTAGTAGCTAATAGATATTCACTACCGAAAATGCTTTCTGTAGCTGCTACAAGATTTATTCACGTAGAAGAGAAGAACACCAGTAGCATTTAGGCGCACCCCCATCCTTCATGTTTACTGAGCTTTCAATGGTCGTTGGTTCTTGTCACATGAAAAGGCCACGAGCTAGTGGAAGAAACACTAGTGGTAGTGTTCTGATTTGCTTATTTCCTATTTACTTGTTTGGTGGAGGCAATCCAGAATTATTGTTGTTGAAATTATAATCAGACCCCCACCCCTAAAGAAATCTCTTCGGATCTGCACGATTCACACAAGTCACCCAAACTGACGAGAAAAAAGCGGGAGGCGCCGAAAAGCGCGCTGTTTCGCTAATCATATCACATCAAACCATCCAAATTATACTTAGTTTTCAAATTGTTAATGATAACAACGTCAGCATTGCGTGAATACATTTAAAGCCCTTCGGACATTTATCCTTGTCTTCGCATGGGCCGGTTGCAGTCTCTTTTTCCAAACTCTCACTCCAAAGTATTTTACATATGTGACGTAATGAAGCAAAGACATGCTCGAATCTCCCGCGGAAATCCACTACCACCACTGGAATTAAAAACATTATTATTTTACACACTGGATATGTGCTTGCTCAAAAATTTATTTTGAATAATTTTCAACCCCAAAAAAGTTACGGACTGCAGCTTTAAATGTCGTTCATCTACAGAAGACTCTTCAGTGTGTTTAAACTCAGGGTTGAAGACAAACCTCCCAGGCAGGAACGTTTTCTCGAAACTTCTCGTTGACGATGCAGCAGATGGACATCAGGTAGCTGTTGGTGGAGGCTTCAGGTGTGTAGTTCAACCACAGGTAACTCTCCAGATACTGGCTGAAGAACAGACAAGCACATCAGACGACTGTGTGTAACACACGGCTCCAACACACACACACTGCTGACAGAAAACACCAACCTGAACTCCAGCAACATAATCTTTCTGACAGAAAATCTGAAAAGAGAAGACCAAAGTCAAATTGCTCATTTATTTAATTGCTGCATTTTATAAAGAACATAAATAACTGAATACAGTGGAAGCTTGTTTCCATAATATAATAAAAAAAAATCTTAAGAGTCTTGACCTGCAATTCAGAGTTGTAAATTTTTTTACAAAAACAGCCAAGGTCCCTTTATAGACACCGGCCTGGTTTGACAGACAGGGCTTACATTAAACCAGGATTAGCCCTTAGTTCAAATAGCTTTTATAAATGTACATTTAAAAAAAACAATACTGATGCAATTCTTAATACAACCCGAATTCCAGAAAAGTTGGGACGTTTTTTAAATTTGAATAAAATTAAAACTATACGACTTTCAAATCACATGAGCCAATATTTTATTCACAATAGAACATAGATAACATAACAAATGTTTAAACGGAGAAATTGTACACTTTTATCCACTAAATGAGCTCATTTCAAATTTGATGCCTGCTACATGTCTCAAAATAGTTGGGACGGGGACACGTTTACCATGGTGCAACATCTCCTCTTCTTTTCAAAACAGTATGAAGACGTCTGGGCATCGAGTTTATGAGTGTCTGGAGTTTTGGTGTTGGAATTTGGTCCCATTCTTGCCTTATATAGGTTTCCAGCTGCTGAAGTGTTCGTGGTCGCCTTTGACGCATTTTTCGTTTTAATGATGCGCCAAATGTTCTCTATAGGTGAAAGATCTGGACTGCACTGCCCTACAAAGCAAAAAGGCAGTAACTACGCAGAGTGCAGAGCTGAGAAAAATGACTTTTGCTAGGGCTTTTTGCAGTTACTGTACAAACGACTACCATTTTTCACTAAAACTACATGCATTTAAGATAAGATGTTTTGTCATATAACAAAGGTTGGCTTGAATGTCATGAAAATTGTAATAATTAATGCTTTACCAAAACTGCAGTTACTGCCTTTTTGCTTTGTAGGGCAGGGCAGGCAAGGCCAATTCAGAACCCGGACTCTTCTACGACGAAGCCATGCTGTTGTAATATCTGCAGTATGTGGTTTTGCATTGTCCTGCTGAAATACACAAGGCCTTCCCTGAAATAGACGTTGTCTGGAGGGGAGCATATGTTGCTCTAAAACCTTTATATAGCTTTCAGCATTCATAGTGCCTCCCAAAACATGCAAGCTGCCCATACCGTATGCACTTATGCACCCCCATACCATCAGAGATGCTGGCTTTTGAACTGAACGCTGATAACACGATGGAAGGTCTCCCTCTTCTTTTGTCCGAGGACACGGCGTCCGTGATTTCCAACAAAAAATGTCAAATTTTGGACTCGTTTGACCATAGAATACTTTTCCACTTTGAAAATAGTCCATTTTAAAATGAGCCTTGGCCCACAGGACACGACGGCGCTTCTGGACCATGTTCCAATATGGCTTCCTTTTTGCATGATAGAGCTTTAGTTGGCATCTGGAGATGGCAACGGCGGATTGTGTTTACCGACAGTGGTTTTCTGGAAGTATTCCTGGGCCTATTTAGTAATCATCATTCACACAATCATGCCGATGAGTGATGCAGTGTAGTCTGAGGGCCCCGAAGACCACGGGCATCCAATAAAGGTCTTCGCCTTTGTCCCTTACGCACAGAGATTTCTCCAGTTTCTCTGAATCTTTTGATGATGTTGTGCACTGTAGATGATGAGATTTGCAAAGCCTTTGCAATTTGATGTTGAGGAACACTGTTTTTAAAGTGTTCCACAATCTTTTACGCACTCTTTCACAGATTGGAGAGCCTCTGCCATCTTTACTTCTGAGAGACTCTACCTCTCTAAGACATCCCTTTAAATCATGTTACAGACCTGATATCAACTTAATTAGTTGCTATAGATGTTCTCCCACCTGAATCCTTTCTAAATTTCTTGCTTTTTCAACCATTTGTTGTCCCCGTCCCAACTATTTTGAGACCTGTAGCAGGCATCAAATTTGAAATGAGCTCATTTAGTGGACTAAAGTGTAAAATTTCTCCATTTAAACATTTGTTATATTATATATGTTCTATTGTGAATAAAATATTTGCTCATGTGATTTGAAAGTCGTATAGTTTTCATTTTATTCAAATTTAAAAAACGTCCCAACTTTTCTGGAATTCGGGTTGTATTTTAAGATTTGTCAGCGCATGTTGCTTACGGTTAAAACAGCTCAAACATGCATTTTTGTCTGAGACTAAGGTTTAAACCTTGTCTGTGAAACCTGGGGGTAGCATTATAACAACAACAATAATAGAAATAACAATAGCATATCATTAGTGGATTTTGTATGAGTGCAATTTACATTCCAAGAACAGTACATAAATGTTCTTACTTTGATTTAAGAATCTCATTCTGATAAATGTCTTCAATGACCTGAAAAGAGAAAATATTCAAAAGTCACGACACAAGGTGATCGATCACTGACACTGATAAAAAAACGGATCTGTTAGTATTAGGTAGTGTCTTTATTTATATTATTTTAATATCTATATGTACTGTATTCTGTAAACCCCTGCTAAAGAGTTGAATTAAAGCACAAAGTGTGTCATCTTACCTGAGCTTCAAATGGTAATTTATTCTTGACATGAGGTGCCCAGTATTTGTTTGAAAGCTTGAGAGAACAAAAACACAACACGGCAAATTTAAGAAGATGTGCACAAATACACCGACTGACTGTGTTTGACTTCATAAAGTAATCATAACTCACCTGAGTGACATATTCAGCGTTAATCTGCGCCACTGAAGGCGCGGAGGTCTTTATCAGTCTCGAGTCCTTCTGCATGTTTCGATCACTGATCATTAATGGAGTTTATCGATCGAATCAAATAATCATCTGTCTCACTGCTTATTTCAAGCGAACGTAACGTTATCAATGTAACAGCTGAAAAGTTCATTCACTTTTCAGTATTCACTTCTGAAAACCTAAGAGATAAAAACACACGCTGGAATGTGAACTAAATCAATGCTGATAATAACCAATGCAAACTTTGTTTATAACAGAGACGTCATGAATACGTTACTAGCTTAGCCGTATGCTAACATGTGAAAGTATGAAAGTCGCGGCTAATGACAACTTCCGCTTTCCGAGTTTCCATCCAAAATAAAAGCCTTATTTTCCGTCAACGGCTCTGAGTTCACCTATTTACGCTCTTTTTGTGAAGAAAGATACTTTGAGTGTAGTAAAAAGTAGACAAGGGACATCGCGTCTTTAACGGTTTTGCTCTCTGTCGCATCCTGTCACACAGTAAACTGGCCTGTCAATCATCTTGTCACAGTTAAAAACCTCCAAATTTAATTTCAGTTCCTACCCAATCGGAGATATATGCAGAATCACGTTGACCTGCCGACCGGGTCTTTCTCTCCAAATCATTGCATTATTAATGATGCATTTAAAAGTTAGTAATGGACAAAACGGATCTTTTTAAAAGTCCACATTGCAGATGAAATATAACACGACATTAAATAAATATTTTAAACATTTTTAGTTGGTTCAACTTTACTTAGTCTCTCAAACCTTTATTTAAACCTCTCACCGGCGCATATTCGCCATGTTTTGTAGTTTTGTGTTTTGTACACTTCTTACTCCTCTTTGAGGAACTCTCCTCCAATACAAAGCGCAATGGGTTGGCAAGTGGGCACGGATGCATACTTTGAAAATCCACTGAGAATAGCAGACCATCCGGACCACTTTAGGCTTTTTCTAATTGAAAGAAAACAAGTTGACAAAAAGATTGAATCCAAGATTGGGTGAAAATATGGTATAATGAGTGATTTATAAGCTATTTTTTATAGGCCGGTAATTTTTGACCGGGAACACCACAAGTGTGACTATGTGCCATATTTTTTACAAAACAAAAGTTTCCAAACAAAATTCCTGGTGAAACATTAGAGTAGACTAGTGTGATGAACAGTAGCCATTTAAAAAAAAAAATAATAATAATAATTTTTCCAAATTTACTCATAAATTATTTATTTTTTACACAAAAAATGAGATGCCTACTCTCAGACAAACAAGGCCCACGATTAATCAGACGCAAACAGAAATATAAAACCAGTCCTAATTGATAGAGAACTAGTTGACAAAAATATTGAATCCAAGATTGGGTCATAATATGGTATAATGAGTGATTTATAAGCTATTTTTTATAGACCGGTCATTTTTGACCGGGAACACCACAAGTGTAACAAGGTAACAAAACTCCCACAAAAAAAAAAAATAAGAAAATTTTCAAAAAACAAATGAGATACCGTAAAAAAATATACCGTTTGGGAACAAAGTCACTAAGTTTCAGTCCAAAGCGATAACATTAACTAGTATTTTCAGAAAAAAGAAAATCTTCTCCAGGTCAAATTGACCAGAACACCACATGAGGGTTAAGTAAGGGATAATTGACGACAGGCCGTTGAATTGTTAGTAAAATAATGCACACCCAAGGTGGTAATGCGGTCTCGACGCGAAGCGGAGAATTACACATCGGTAATTCTCTTGTATGTAGGACTAATTTCTTACGCATCTAATCCCATGCCTTCGTTGCTAATTCCAAAACGTCATTTTAGAGTTAGTTACGGAGGTTTGAGCCACTGATAGCAGACTAATGTTGGGGGACACACTTACGACTCGCTGAAATATTCGAAGACCGACTGTTTCCATCGACTGTAGGTCGCAAACACAGACTGTGTGTGAACACAGACTGAACATGATTGGGCATGATCAAGTATCAACATTCATAACATTCAAAAGTGTGTCCCGGCTTTATGCAGTTATTAGAGAGAGGAAGAGAGAGAGAGAGAGAGAGAGATCACATGCCAAACTGTGCTTTATCTGAAACCCCCGTGTGAAATAACTCAAACTTCTCCACTCGAATCTGAAAAACTGTTTCCTCTGAAACACCTAAACTTAAATGGAATCAATCCAACTCAGATCAATTCAAAGAAAACATGAACAGTCCTACAATATTAAAAATGCTGGATGAATTTATGTCCACAGATTTCACTCTAGATATTAATGGAATAAATTTAGCAACTAAAAACTTATATTGCATATTCAAAACATTGATAACTCTAACATTAAACCACAAAGCACATATAAAACAAATCAACAGAGAATGAGAAAGGATGTCTGGTTCGATGACGAATGTGCAGGTCTCAGGAAAGAGCTGAGGAGACTCTCTTATTCAGAGTGTCTGCAGAAAAAATATTTTAAAGCCAAAATTGATGAAATTGATGATTCGGTCAATCAAAATACTTTCTGGAAACTAGAAACCCAAATCAGAGATGTCACTCCAGAATGGCACAATTTGGAAATCTTATTTTGAAAATTTATATTAAAAAATTACACCAGCTGACCTTAACCTCAGAGTAGCATACAGAACGCACTAAAAGACTTGGAAAAAACTATTAAAAATTACCAAAATCCATTAGATAAATGTATAACAATAGCCTATCTGAAATATTAGAACATATTGAAAATCTTAAACTAAAGAAAGTGCGTGGAAAAGATAACATTAGTAACGAAATGCGTTCACGTGCTATGGAAAGTAGGATATTTTCCACTTGTGAATGGGTATTTACCAGTGGGTTGCGTTCAAGTGCTTTACCTGTTATTTAGCTAAAACTCATTTAGATTGCTTAAGTCGTCTGCAACAGCAAGAAAATGATTTATCAAAACTCAAAAGGTAAATAATATGCTATATATTTTCTAGATCATGAATACATGCTGCGTCCCAATTCGCTTACTTATACTACGCCCTAAAGTATGTACTCTTTTTGTGAGGAAAAAGTACATACTTTTGAGTGTGTAGCAAAAGAGTAGGCAAGCTTTGGGACGTACTACGTCATCTTTAACGGAAAGCTCTGTCGCGTGCTGCGTGCATCCTGTCACCGTAAACTGCCCTGTCAATCATCTTGTCACAGTTAAAATCCTCCATTCTGTATCTAATTTTATTTCCTACCGTTTCGGAGAGCACATCCATCTGCCAGTTGTGGGTCTTTCATGCTCTCCTCGTTTTTGCAATTTGAATATAATGATGCATTTAAAACGTAATAGCTAAACGTGTCTTTACAAAAGTTCACAATGCTGCTGCAAATGCAATATAATGTGGACAACATTGAATAAATTCATTTTCGTCAGGTTAGATACTGATAATTAATCACTCAAAGCTCTTTATCTAAACCTCTCTACACAACCGCGGGGACTCGCGCGTCCTCCGTATCGACTACGTGTCTGTAGTTTTTTAACACTTTTTACTCGTGTTTGTAGTTCTAACCGAATCCTCGTCCAACGCGCAATGGTTTGTGGGTAATATCAGCCGTTAGAGTGTGCATCGATCTACACTTGCGGATTCTGACCGGAAAAACTAGACCATCCGGGTATCTTTGAAACACTCATTTCAACATACTACGATTTGGGACGTACTAATTCTATTTTCAAATACTAGGACGGATAGTATGCGAATTGGGACGCAGGGACAGTATATATTTTTACCATTCACGACTCTTGCGGTGCTCTCCGCCATTTTGAAAAGTCCAAAGGTTATCTCATCTCGGCAACTCGTCCATCAAAATATTCTACGAGTTGCCCAGAAAATACCACATGAGGGTATTTTGGTATTTACCATAATTACCATAGCACATGAACGCAGCTCAGCAGTCCCAGCATGATTCAAACTCTGGCCAAACTCTTTAATCTGGTGTTGTGGTCCGGAAGCTGGTCTGAGGGACTCATCACACCCGTATTTAAGAAAGGCGATCGTCTCGACCCCACTAGTTACCGCGGCATCAGTGTGAGCAGTGCTTTAGGTAAACTGTTCTGCAGCATCATAAACACACGCATCGTCTCACACATCTCATCACGCGGGATTTTAAATAAAGCACAGATTGGCTTTCTACCAAAACACCGCACGTCCGACCACATCTATTCACTCCACACACTCATCAACAAAAACGTTAACGACAAACAAAAGAAAAATATTTGCATGTTTTGTAGACTTCAAAAAGGCATTCGATTCAATTTGGCATGATGGTCTACTATACAAAATCCTAAAAATTGGCATTGGCGGAAAAACGTTTGACATCATAAAATCTCTGTACAGCAACAGCAAAAGTGCGGTGAAAATCAGGAAGCACAGAAGCGCCGACTCTATTCAACATCTACATCAACGATCTGGCATCAGCGCTGGACAGCACACACAGGTCAGAGGTCAGATGTCTGCTGTACGCGGATGATCTGGTCCTGCTGTCCCGCACACCTGAGGGCCTTCAGCAGAGCCTGTCCCTGCTGGAACAGTACTGTCACGACTGGGCCCTGACAGTCAATCTGGACAAAACCAGAGTCATGGTGTTCCAGAAGGAGGCCCGATCTCAGGAACACAAACACCAGTTCCTGTAGACACTGTGATCTACAGCACACAGAGGACGAGGAACACTTTCTGCTCTTCTGTCCCAAATATACCAATATTAGAGAAACCTTTCTGCCCAGATTTGGATCCTTGATCCCATCATTCTCTGGTCTGAGTGACACTGAGAAAATTAATGTTCTTTTTACTCGGAGAGGATGATAATACAGCTGCACTAGCGGCTAAATATGTGTTAGCTATTCACAACGCCAGAGACAGCTGATTGTATTCATTCATTTATTAATATATACTGTGTTTATTTATTTACCATGCTACATTTGACATGATCTATATGACATGATCTATACATATATGTTCTGTGTGTTTGTTCTATTATTATATAATATGTTGATGCTTTGGCAACATTGTGTTACACAGTCATGCTAATAAAGCTAAATTGAATTGAATTGAGAGAGAGAGAGAGATGTTGAAATAATGAGACTGAGAAACATGTGCGTCAATATTATTAATTATTTAAATTTGTTTTAATCTGTTGATTATTGTTTTCTATAATTGCCAGTAGATAACCCAATAAATGAAACACACAAAGCCATTTTAACAAGTAAGCCTATCAATATTTATTTATTTGTTATATTATCTGGAATAATTACGAAAATCCGTGCAGCAGGACTATTCATTTATTTACATAGCCTATTCAGTTTAATTTTCTATTTAGCCTATTATAGATAGGACTACATACTTTATTTGATGAGATGAAATCATCTACAACCATGAGTGAATTCAAAAAACTATTTAAACTGAAGATATTAAATGAATATGAAAAGGCCTCGAGGCGATAGTATTGTACAATAGTATAGTATTGCA